GTGAAACAGAAAGGTTCTTCAGATGTTAAAGGTTCTTTATGGAACCATTTAGACAAAAAGGTTCTTCTATGGCATCGTGAAGCACCTTTATTTTTAAGAGTGTGTAGCCGACTTATTTGGGGGATATCATATTCATAAATTAGTTTCCACAAAGAACCCAATTGTTCACTTTTAAGACGTTACTGTTGTGATTAGTAATTAATGGATTATTCTTTATTAATTGGTCATAGTTCGCAAGTAGTTCTCAATGAGGATATATTTTTTTAGTAATGATCAAATATCTAATAAGGAACTACCGTTGTCCTAAATTTGCTACTACTTACTGCTTAGTTAATCTTGCTTCTCTATTAGTTAATAGTATTAAGTTAATGTAGTACTACCTATTACTTCCTGCATAGTTACTTGTTAACAATGGACCATTATTCTAAAGTGTTACCCAGCAAAGTTTTGACCATGATGTTGATCATTTAGAGGCTCTGAAATATGATCTGGGAGTTTTCGTTTTTTGTTCATACATAATGTACAAAGTAACAAATAAGATTCAATATGGTTTGCCGAAAAGCATTCCATCTCCACAACTTTTTTGTTTTCTGGTTACTTTTGTTCTCAGCCTAGCTCTATTGATTTTGCCTTAATAACTATGAAGACATAAGGACCCTGAGCTTAGCTTAGGTACAGCTGACAGAAAACAGCACACCGTAATGCTGAACCTCTATCCAGCTGATACCATAACTACCCGATTTGTTTTCATCCGCGGTCATAAATCTACCTGACAGTGCAATAACTCCTCAGACCAGCTCTCATACGTCTCTCGTCCATCATGACGGATTTGTCGGAGTATTTATTTGGTAAATTGTTGTTATTTTCCCATTGTTTTTGGTTAAAGATTAATGAGATAAAGACATAAAGTGCTCTTTATGCAAGTGGGTAAGTCAGTTCCATCAATGAAAGTGTCTCTCCTACGCTGTACTTCATTAGAGCCCATCCAGCACATGCTCTACTCCCACCATCAAAGCTCTAACAGGTTGGAAGTGCATTTGCATCACTCCTAATGAGACTCTGGTGGTGATACGCAGCATCAGATTAATTTTTTTCCAAAAGCCAGAGACATAAAATCCCAATAATGCCTGATGTCACGGCAGTTATTGCTACACCACAGACTGATGAAATATGGAAATGTGACTTGTTTGTTCAGTCAGGTGACATTTTCACACATAAAGCCAGTGTAAGCTTATTAATCTCCCGAACGATTCCATATGTGAAATCACAGAAGCGGTAGAGAGGAAAAAATCCCCTCTGAATTGCGCAAGACTGCTGCATAATGAATGCAAAGCTAATAGCTGCAAGACAGAAGCGTCTTATTCACGGACATTGACAACAAATGTACTTTTTGTACTGCACATGCTTAAAAATGAGGTTCTTAATCAGCATCAGTGGTTTCAAGAAGAACCTTTAACAATCATGGAACATTTTCATTGCACAAAAGATTCTTCATTCAATTTAGTTCTGTTCAATTCAAGTTTATTTGTATAGTACTTTTCACGATACAAATCGTTGCAAAGCAGCTTTACAGAAAATTTAAGTTTCTAACATATTTAGTAGTAGCTTATCAGTGGTGACTCATGTTGATGTCCATATGGCAGAAATGTAAAGTAAAAATCATGAAGTTAGTTAATGACAATCAAACGGGAGGTGAACACTATTAACAGCAATGATGTGTTTGGTCATCTCAGAACTTTGTAAGGGTTGTATCCAGACTGAAGCTTGTATAATTCCTAGAAAATATTAATAATTAATCATAATTAGTTATGGTTAATTATTCATATTTCCCCATGAGCTGATTCGCTACAGTGGTGACTCATGTTGATGTCCATATGGCAGAAATGTAAAGTAAAAATCATGAAGTTAGTTAATGACATAATCAAACGGGAGGTGAACACTATTAACAGCAATGATGTGTTTGGTCATCTACTCATGTTGATGTCCATATGGCAGAAATGTAAAGTAAAAATCATGAAGTTAGTTAATGACAATCAAACGGGAGGTGAACACTATTAACAGCAATGATGTGTTTGGTCATCTCAGAACTTTGTAAGGGTTGTATCCAGACTGAAGCTTGTATAATTCCTAGTTGCATCAGGATGCCAATCTCGTGGCAGAAAAAGAGACAAAATTAGCGTAGCTGCTGTTCCAACCAAGCAAAAGAATGATAATGTATATTTGATCCGATATAACTGAAGTACAAGGTTGAGATATATTATGTGAATGCTTGGCTAAAGAGATGTCATTAATCTAAACAGAGAGAGTGTGTCTGAACCCCAATCAGTATCAGGAAGACTATTCCAGAGTAATATGATCATATTTAATTGACCTGGTAAGGACTCTAGCAGCTGCATTTTGGACTACCTGTAGCTTGTTTATTGAAGATGCAGGACAACCAGCTAGCAGTGCATTACAATAGTCCAGTCTAGAGGTCATGAATGCATGAACTAGCTTTTCTGCATCAAACACAAGTAGCATGTTCCGTAGCTTGGTAATGTTTCTAAGATGGAAGAATGCTGTTTTTGCAACGTGAAATATGATTTTCAAAAGACAAGTTGCTGTCTAATATAACACTCAAATTTTTGACTATATAGGAAGTAACAGTACATCCGTCTAGATCAGGGTTCCTCAATTAGTTTCTGCCAACAATACCAAGCCAAGGGCCACTGACCTATATATATATAAAATTGTTATTACAATTATTATATTGTTGCTTTTGTTAAAATAGTCACAAGATGGTCACAAGATGAATAGTCAGATTTATTTCCCCAGTAGTTGTTACGGAAGAGGTCTGACACAACAGGTTAGTTATATACAAAACAGTTTATTAGGTCACAGTGAGTACTGGTGTCGAGTCCGGAGGAAGTGATGGTGAGGGAAAGGTCCGTGAGAGCGTGCAGAGGATATGGAGAGTGGAGTAATCCGAGTCTTTGGCTTGATTGAGGCTGGAAGGTATCCGGGGGAAGCACACACCTCAGCGATCCAGGAACTAGGGGATACAGGAGCCACTAGGAGGAACACAGGCAGTAAGTAATGCAAGAAGTATTCAAAGGTAATCAGTAGTAAGGTCATTGAGTCCTCTACGTGTATACGAGATCAGACAGTGAGGGTGTCTGAGGTGTGTGCTTTTATGCAGGCTGGTAATGAGGTGCTTGATTGGTGACAGGTGCGGATGCTCAGAACTCAGGTGAGAGGGATTGTTGTGATTGGGAGGTGGCGGACCCTGGCCGATCTGTTACAATATCATGATTATGGAAATGTAAATGCTTAAAAAATAATTTACACTGTGACTAAACCCATTAGATTTTAGTTGACTAAATCTACTGTAGACTCAGTCAACTCAAATCTTATATTTAGTCGACTAAAACTAAATCAAATGTTGCTGTGATACATTTTTGCATTTAGATACAGAATAACTTTGCCTGTTGAATATTAAAAACAAATGAGCAAACAAAAAATCTGTATCTCCATGTCTGCCATGCAAATCAACTGTTCCTGCTCATTCCCAGACTGGATCTCTTCTCTCCACTTTCCCTAATTGCAGATTCAATTATTAGATTTGCCAGTATTAAAGGGGTCATATGATGCTGCTAAAAATAACATTATTTTGTGTATTTGGTGTAATGAAATGTGTTTATGCGGTTACAGCGCCGCACCGCGTAAACATAAAACCATGTTTGCATTTGTGATTGGAGAAATGACAAACAACAAGCCCTACTCTACACTGCCCAAAACTCGCGTTTGAATCGTCAGTGGCAAATCCTTTAAATGAAAACATACTTACAGTCTGTGAGTCAGAACAGCCGGCATTGTAGTCTACTCTACCAGGATCAGGAAACAGTCCTCCATAAAATGTGCTGCACACATCTGAATATTTGTGTTGAAGTGTTCTGGAACAGTGTTGTAAATACAACTTAACCACTGATTTC